ATTTATTGCACTAGAACTGGAATTGTTTTAATACAATATGTTCCAACCTGTACCGCTTCTAATGTGTTATTCCTATAATGAAGTGAAGGTATAGAAAGCCATAAAAATGAAACCACAAAAGAACAGATTTTTAGTGCTTCTCAGTTTACCTTTTTCTGAATAAATATCTGAATTCAGTTTCACTTGGGGTCAGTGGGCAGACCAGCAGAGCGTTTTCTATCCCAGTATTTCAGTGGCTTTACAGCAGATTACTAAAAATCTCCGTCTGTCTGTGTGGTCCGTCTCACTCTCCACTCTTCATCACATCTAACTTCCCTCTCTCAGCACTCCTGGATTTTCCTCTGCACTTTTAAAAGCACAGCTACGTATGGCAGATTTCCATTTCAAATACTACCAAGTTGATTTAAGATTATAAAAAATGAAGTGTGCCAAAGTGTGTCAAATTATCAATACCCAAAACTGATATTAAAACCTGCATATACTCATCTGAACAGTTATCAATACTGAAAATCACAGAAAAATAAAAATAAAAAATTGGACCATTCCTGAATAGAAATGAAAAACTAACATAAAATCTAACGGTAATTTTAGAAAGTACTATGACTTTATATTGCCTAAAAAGGATGTTTTTTATTATCATTATCAAAATGTCTACTGGGTACAGAGACTTTCCCTTAGCACTGAAATTGAGTTTAAAAATTGAGTTGTAGCCCTAGTCTGCATTATAAAAGCAAATAAATATTGGCAAAACTTCCAGTTGACTTAGCGGTACGTACATCTAAGAGTGATTAAAATTTTATTGTTGAAAAAGTCCCCCATGTGTAGACTGTATCAGCATGACTCGCGTTATCTCATAAAGTAATTGGATGGAAAGAAGACCTACTTTGCCTGGCAGCAGAAGACATTTTCAAAGCACCAAAAACAAAAAGGAAAGATTTAAAAGTAAAAGGTTTTGGGTTTGAGGGCTGATTTGTTTTAGTGTAATGGTTTAAAATAAATGACTGAGAATTATTCAGCATAAAGTACAAAGATTTTCCTGTAAAACAAAATATTTTCCTTGTTTTAAATGAACCATGATATAAATAACAAATGCACAGCGCAATTTGTAATATACCCAGACTCCAAACTCTCGTTAGATGAAGGTGTTTAGTTTAGGGCTTTATCATTTATTGCAATCAAATCAAAATTGCAATTTCAAATGCCACATTTATAAAATCACAAGGGTTGCAGTTATTTGGCTAATTAAATGTCCTCTGCAACCAACAAAATATGTTCATGGGAAAATAAATCTGCTAACCCTGTATCAGTGAAATGTAATGGATTAGTTAAGCAGTTCATTCAGTAAATCTAGCTGAAGTTGAAATATTTTTCTTTTTTTTAATTATTTATTTTTTTAACAAGGTGCAGCCATTTATTTATTTATTTTTGGCTGAGACAGTACAATTAAATATTGCCACCAACCTGATAACCGATGTTGATGCACATAAGGCTTCCAGCCAGTATACAGTATTTTTCCCTGTAAAAGAAGAGTCTGCACATTGTATAGATTGATGGGCATTTGTGGAAGTTATCACAGTGTTAAATATGGAAGAACGTTTGATGATTCCGCAGGTTTCTCAGTTTAGTTTCCTCCTATCTTATGAATGTGCATGAGTGTGCATCTTATACACTCACATACTTTATCACATACTTTATCATAGGGGAACAAAACTTCTGGCCAGCATATTGTTTTCCTGAATCTAGCTAGTGTTTTTTTTTTGTTTTTTTTTTGTTTTTTTTTTCAGTCCCTCCTGCCTTGCCAGAGGGAATAGAACCAGCGCCTGTTGAGCCAGACAGCAGCTGAGCAGTCTGCCAGCCCCCATAGGGTGGTCAGTCTGAATCTAAGCCCAAACTCAAACCAGACTTTACCAAGAAACTGTTAGTATGCATGTGAGTATGTGTCTGCCTCAGATCTCCTTCTGTTAGCTGCACGGCAAGTTAATTTGATTTTTTGGAAGGAATTTCAATTGCTATTTAGCTCACAATAATCATAATAGTAAAAATGCAGCATGTAACTTTGCTGAGTCCCTTCCTGCTTGTCTCAGTGGACAGGTTATTGTATGGAATCATGTCTGTCTATGACTGATTCCATTAGAGGTATATTTATTGCTAAATTAAACCTTGAAAAACTTGCTTTCTTACAGTGAGTGGGATTGCCTTTACTTTGCCTGACCAACCAGTCCATTCTACTTTCTGTTCTAATCCAGAAGTGTCTGAAATCTGACCATAGAGCACAAAAAACCCTTTGTCCAGTTTGGTGGTGTTTGTTTTTACCCAATGTTAGGGAAAATAAGTGTTAACGAGTCCTAATGAGTCCTAGGCAAGAGAAGTTTATTTACCATCAGTCCTGGACTTGGACACTTAATACTCAACACTGCGCGATAGTATCGGCTGTTTAAGCCTGACTATGCTTCCACACCAGGAGGTTTAAATAGGAACCAAGGACAGCTTGGAGACAAGCTGGCCAAGATAAAATCAGAAGAGCATAGCATACCGCTTCTGAAATGAGTTGACCAAGGAAACTGATAATGTTAAAGAAGGACAAATTCTGCAATAGTTGGATGATGCCAGAGCTAACCACAGAGAAATGTCAGCAATGAACTGGAGGTGTCCTTGCTAAGACTATGCAGGGGATGCAAAATTCCACAACACATGACCAGAGCATGTGCCTCTCCTCTCTTACTGTAATCCTCATGTCTATCACATCCTCTGGAATTGGTGAGACAGGATACAATTCCAGGCCCACTTGCTTTTGTTTTGTCAAAGCCTGTGGTTCTGGCTATCCAGGTAAGCCCCTACACAGATCTGACCTGTAACTTGGACTGCTGATGTCACTTGCTTATCTTCAAGGAGCATGCAAACCAATAACAGACTACAAGCAGGCAAACAGACCCAGAATAGTTACATAGTTTTATTTGTCTCTTCATTATGATAAAATACATTAACTTCTGTATTAAATGAGCATGTGACCATCCTTTAACTGGAAGTATTTTGGTTTGAGTGCCACTATAGTTCAAACTATTGATGTTTATTTGGGCAATACGCTTCACCCACTTTGCCAGTGTGAATGTGGTTTATGAATCAATGATTTTTGGAGGTTGAAGAGGCAGTTGTCAAAGATTAGCAGCCATGTTTCTTCGAGTCAGGCCCATGGCAGCTGTGGATACAAAAACACCTGTCACCATTGAGTGAACGAGCAATACATTTTACAGCGCTTTGGGCATCTTGTGTTAAATGTGTGCTAAATAAATAAAGGCATTTTGTACTTGCCATCAGGTGACTTTGACAAGGGCCAAATTGTAATAGCTGGACTGGCTCAGGGCCGCTCCAATCTTAAGGGGTGTTCCCTGACTGCAGTGATCAGCTTCAGAATCTAAAGTGGTCCACGAACGAAACAAGGGTAAACAAGTTGAGGTCTGAATGGATGGAAAGGCAGGGCTATAATTCTAAATAACATTTAAGTTGAAAACAATACTATACTGGAGCAAAGCCAGCAGTGCCTATAAAATGAATGGCACATACACTTCTCTGAGTCACTTATAAAAACGTGCTGTGTGTGCACTTCCAGGGGACAGGAGCTTTAATGAAGGTTTCAAGTGAATTTAAAGGATTTCTATTCTTTTTAATATCACTCGGCTTAGAGTCTGCAGCTCAAATTTACAGGGAAAACTCTCCCTCTAAAACAAACCTGGCAGAGACACGGTTTTATTCCCAAAGCTTGTTCTGTGTAATTCACACTGGGTTGCCAGGAAACAGGTCTGGTCCAAACTCATTACTCTTGCAGCCATTATCAGCACAGTCAGGTCTACTTGCGCTATATGTGCCCCACCTATCCCAACTTCACTGGTGCTTTGTTAACCGAAGGATCAACCCGGGACACGGCAGCATCCAATCACAGGCTATCAGTCTGTGTTAGTTAGACTAGAGGTGTTCCAATGCTCAGGGTCAGTGGGAAGTTATTGGTTAAAACTTGATGGAGCACATAGGGCATTGGGGGTTGGATGGTAAAAAAAAAATCTGTTACTGGAAATTGGTTATTTTGTTATGCTTTGAAATTGTAGGACAGTATTTCTCAACCTGTGGTATGAGTTTCTCTCAATTTAATTCACATTGTTGTCCTTCTTTGAGTTTGTTCTCGTTAAGAGGTGCTGTAGTCTAGGTGAAGTCCAATTTTAGACCTAGTTTAGTCCTAGATTAAACCTGGAATAGTTTTGTTAGACCTGGTTTCGATCTGGTGGTACTGGGAAGGAAGGCTCACTTTATGTATCCACCTTATTCTTCCCAGCCCACTTTTACTTTACCGACTGCTACTGACCAGCACTTCTGTTCATGTTGGTCCTTCTGGTGAAGTGGGAATACTATTCATTTCAGTGAAGAACTAGAGAAAAGTCTTGCTGGTAAAATATGATGTTAAGTAAGATGATTTGTGTAAAATATTCAATGTTTATGTACACCAACAAGTCAACAATGCAATCATTCTCTGGGTGGCTTGTAAACGGCTTTGTAGTCTGTATAGAACTAATTTGCTGTCGAGAATGGCAGCTCTATGCAAAACAGCACACCCGCGAGGAGGGGTATATTTAATGGCTGCGCCCATGGCAACATTGAACTCTGTAACACTACTTTTGATAGCTATTTATATTATATAGTATGGTTCCTTATAATAATCACAATACAAATAAACATATCTAAAATCTGAAAATACAAAAGCTGCATTTGCTATAGAAGCTATAAGTTGCATAGTGCATCATTAAATAAAAAAAAAAGAGAGAGATAGATTCTATTGCTGTCTATTGCATGTTTTATTCATTGTTTCTTTTTACCTTAGACCCACCTACTCATGTCATGAGAATAATAACACAACTGTCAAAAGAGTATCACTTTTAGCGTTGCAGTCCCAATTACTTTTGGCACTTTTTTTGTTGCTGTGGTAAAAGTTTGATATCTTGTTCTGCCCGCAGTGGTTTGGAGACCTGGTGACCCCAGTGTGGTGGGAGGATGTGTGGCTCAAAGAAGGCTTCGCGCATTTCTTCGAGTATGTTGGCACCGATTTTCTCTTCCCAAAATGGAACATGGTGAGTCAAAGTTTACCACTCTGGTTTTTACCCTTCAATTTAAATTAAACATGTTTTTGAATCTTTTGCTTCGGGGATATTTTCATTTTCACCCCAGTAAAGGTCTTAATACTCACATTGAAACACACTGGATGAAAGTACACTTTAAAGGTCAGATATTTTGCACATCTTGAACTAGGACTGCAAGATTGACATTGGCAGTAAACTGTTTTGAACTTGAACTTTGAAGACATAGGCTATTGTAATCAAATATACATTGCAGTTTGAGTGATCATAATTATGGTATGAAAATACCTACCTGTGACGTAATCTACAGATATTTTCTGAAATGTGCATGATTGGAGGTTCATCAGTCTTACATATAGACTGTGTAAATAAATGGACATAGCTAACACACTAGCCACCACATCCCAAATAGGAAGTTTGCACGCAGGCTCTTCCGGCTCCTACTGACCCTGACTCCCATTGGCTTACATGGGAGTATTGTGGCCCCTCTCTCTGAACTGCTGCTGTGAACCTTGTCATTTTGGTCTTAAAATGTTCGTATTAATCCATCTACATGATCCTGGTGTTTTTTTCTCGCTACTTTGTCTGTTAAAAAATAGAGCTCCTGTAAGTGTGGGCATCGCGAGCTTCGTTTGAGTGGAGCTGAACATTATGGGTAAAATTACACTCAATTAGTTCGCTTATTTATACAGTCTATGGTCTTAAAGCAATGACAAACAAACACATACATGTATGTCAAAAATAAATACCAAATGTGACTGATGGTGGGCTCAAAATCCCATCTAAAAAGTTGTCACTGCAGTCGGTGATTTTGGGACATGTCCAGTAGCTGTCTTCTGCATCAACAAAACACTATTCAGCTCTTTTTGTCTGACGTGACATTGTGACAGTTTTGAATGGAGTTCTATTTTTGCAGCACAATTTAGTGAAAAATTGTTGGAAAGCAGCAATTAACACCATATTAAAACATCTGTCTGTGGCTAACAGGACATTTGTTTTAGGAATAAATATTTGTCAATTGCACTATTAAAAAGAGGTTTGTTCTTGGTTTAAATTAGTTTTTGTTTGTTTGTTTGTTTGTTTGTTTTACCAATTTACCAGTGCATTACAGTGTACTTTTGTCCATGAATAAAATTAGTGATCTTTATCTATTCTGAACCAACAAATGGTGTGTGTGTGTGCATTTTTTCTGTAATGTGCATTTTTTTATTAGGCAACATATAGTGTAGGCCCCACAAGATGATTTGTACCCAGGGCCCAGAATTTGGTGGTACACCCCTGCTACCACATGAATCAGATAAAAATTAAGATCAAAATATGTACAGAAAACACCACTGTTGAATATATGGATTTTTTTTTTTTTTTAACCCTAATCTTTTATCAACGCACACAGATAGCTTCACTTCCATTCACACTCCTTCACTGACCACTCCTGTCAATCAAGTCACCAGTGTAACTGTGGCAACCGTAAACAAAAACACACAAAATATACTGTATATAGGACAACACACTATCTACTATGTTTCTATTTTATTTCTAAAGCAGCCTTCTCTGTCCAAAAAGTTATAGTTACAAAGGAGGAGACAGATGTCCTGACTCATGACCCTGGACTCTCACATTGATTGGTTTGTTCCCTCTTCTTTGCCAGCACGGTGTCCTTGCTTTTCCAAATGCCCAAGCAACAACATATATATTTTTCAACATCAATTTGAAAACAATCATTTTTTATACTATCACAAACACCATGTCTGAATATACCTTTCCTCTCTCATGCCACACTTAAATAAGACATGATTTACTTCCTGCTCTAACCCGAGCACTTATCTTGACCATACATGCTGCGCGTCTGTGAGCTATGGCATATTTAAATCCCTGTTACCATTGTTCTGCTTGGCTGGGTACGTTAATAGAAACAAAGTGATTCTCCAATAACAAGCACAACAATGATAAAGCAGCCCATTCCTGATGACGCTATTAATTTATAATAAAGGTTTTTATTTAAAATGCAGTTTCTGGCAGCATAGTCTCTTTTCGGCGTGGAATGCACTAAGGTCTATGCCTGTTATATCAATACAAGAGAGACTGCAGTGAACTACGCAGCAGGTTTTCATTCCGCTGTTTATTAAATATATATGATTAAGGCTTTTTAAAGCATACAGGTTCAAACCGTTTCTTTATAGAGCACAAGGAATATTTCAAGTGTAGTGGCCAAACTGAACCTCTGCCACTGAAATGTGTCCAAAATCTGGCTATTGGTGACGCATGTAGAATGGCTATTTTGTCCAATTATCATTCTTCACATAAGTCCATAAGACACCTTGGATGTAGATAAATGGTTGCTATATTTCCAGGATTAAAGAAGAGAAATAAACAAACAAAACTCCATTTGAGTTTAGCTGTCAAAAACCATTAGCCCATACTGGGTCACACACTTGTCAGAAGATGTACCTTTATACCTGGCCTGATCCACACAGGCACAATACAAGAGCACCACGATAGGCCGAACAAGGAAATACAATTTGTCTTAAACATCAAGATTGAATAATTTATTGTCACTGTCATATTTAATATTAGAGTCATGAGAGCATTAACCAATCAACATAGATAGTGCAAATGTTAGTGCATTTCATACAATGAAGCTTTCATAGCCTGTAGTTGATTTAGTTGTATTTGACAAAAACGTGTCTTGCCCCATTACAAATATATTGTATAAGCAGCTTTTGAGGTCACAATATGTCCCCTGTGTAATATATGCATCTAATTATAGTGTTGTGTTGTCCAAGAATAAGCAAGGGTGGACTTAGCACAGTTGTTGTTAGCATTTCTGTTACAGCAAAACTCTGCGTTGATCTCTGAAAGATGTGAAATGCGCTTATAAAGTCATCGCAGTGAATGATTAGAATTAGAAACTTCAGCTCCTGAACTATGCTCAGCTTATTTTTCCTCATTGCTCATTGCCACATGCTCAAGTCCCAGGACTGCATCAACACTCAGTATCAGCCCAGTAGAAGTAACCAAGGTGGAGCTGTATGTCTGCAGCAGAAATGCACAGTCCAGGTCACATTTAAGGCAGGTGTTTGGGGGAATGGAGCATGAAGGGGGGCTTAGGTGGGCTTCCTGTGAGGAAAGACTGTAGTCCTGGCTAGGAACGATTGGTTCCTCCAGTGGTCTCTGATGCTCACAGTTGAGATCTGCTCATTTTTTGTTTTTATTATTGAAACATACATACATGCAGGGATCAATTTTTTAAAAAGGTCAATATGAGGTTTCACACTGGTGGCCCCCATACATATAATTATAAAAGTAACGTCACTCCAGAAATTGTAATAAATAAATTCAATCAAACAAAGTCTGCTTTGGGGTAACATCTGAGTAAAACTCTGTTCCGTTTAGTCTAGTGCTTTGTAATAGTTACTTTATGAAAAGAGTTTAAACCAGATTCAGTGGATGCTGGTCTTTAATCACAATACAGAAACTAATTAAAAGAGATGTAATACCTGAAGTCACTTGTGTGTCACTTGTAAAGGTTGAAGTGAAAATGATGGCTGTGATGGCACTGGGCTTGTACCAGCTGCCGTCCTTCAGTCTGTGTGTTGGTCCATTTGTGTGTTTGTGTGTGTGTGTATGTGTGTGTGTGTGTGTGTGTGTGTGTGTGTGTGCATGTGTATGTGCATGCTTGTCTGTGTTTGTTGGCCTATTAGCTGTCCGTCCACATGTGGGTCCATCTGGTTCACAGCTGCCATATGTGTCTGTGTGAACTTCAGGTGAATTAAAGGGTCGGCTAATTAAAGGGGATGTCTCATTTAGCTCTGCTCCTCACCAATGCGCCGTACTCCTATCCACAGTGCCACTTAGCTCGTTTACTAATGACATCATTTATCGTGGTCTCCAGACTCAGTACGTCTTCATGTTACTCCGCAATGAAACCACAAGTTAGACAGCACATTTGTAGAGAGGTTATTCCAGTTAACACTCTGTTAACTTTTTGATCTTCACTGGAAATGTCAGTACATTCAACCACATTTTGATGTGGATAGGACCATATATATATTATGTTCTCAGGGATCTTACTTATTTTTTCACCTATTTTTATTTCAATTTGATGACTATGAAAGAGAAGAAGTGTCTCAAAAATGCATTGTTAAGACCCTAAGCCATTAAAACTACTCTAATCTCTAAAATCCATTGTGCCTTCATTTAGCCTGATCCCTGCAGATAGTGTAAATTTCAAAGGAACTCACCATTAATGCTCTTCATTAATGGCTGGAACTTAATAGGCTGACAACATATTGCTTAACAAGATGGAGCATCATTAAAAGGAAATCTCCTTGGTAAACACTGTAATCCATGAATTAGACTGCATCGCACATCGTCAGAGCTCTCATATCCCCTGGTAATTCAGACAGAGTTTGATGAATCTCAGCATGTTTGCAGATAACTGGTAAAAAGGAGGGATGGAAAATACAGTACAGTGGAACAAGTCCAAATGAAAATGCTCACTGAAACAAAAATTACTCTTGTAAGAATAGAGTTCCTAATCCATTTTTCATCAAACCAGCTGCTCAACCAAAAAAGGACCTATTGATAACTATAACAATAATTTATCATTGAACAATGAAAATAGAAGAAAAATTACAATAGTGAAATTCATGTATTTATGTTTTTAGGAAAAGCAGCGTTTCTTGACAGATGTCCTCCACGAAGTGATGCTACTGGATGGCTTAAGTTCCTCTCATCCCATCTCGCAGGAAGTCCAGCAGGCCACAGACATCGACAGAGTTTTTGATTGGATTGCCTACAAAAAAGTAAAAAAAAAAAAAAAATGTTTCTTTTTACAATGAATGTTAAAGGCCTAACACAGTTTGACAATTTGAATAATTTGTCAATTATGATTTTATTCTAAGTTGTAGTCTAAACTTGGACTGTGCTTGCAGGGGGCTGCCTTAATCCGGATGCTGGCCAATGTGATGGGTCAGCCGCTGTTCCAGAAAGGACTCAATGTAAGTAGTGCAGTGTGAGTTGTTTAGTGTGACAGGTTCACTTATCTGGACATGGCCAGACCCGTGGAGTTTCTACTCAAATCATTTTCCTCCAGAAAGACGGTTTGCCCAGGTTTTATGCAGAGCTTATAGTGGGGCTTTGGCTGTGGGAGCAGGTTTATGCCTGACACTACAGCTATTTAAACATGCTGCTGCTGTAGTCCATCACTGTAGTGTGTTAATATTCGTACTGATGTAGATGTGCACTTAATATTGATTTTTATAATCATGTAAATGTATTGATGAGCATTTCCCACGGCCAGCCGCCCACACATTACATGCCCTGATTCTTATGCAGAGACTGTCACTGACCTGAAACTCACTGAGACTCTATTTAAAACACTGCTGAACCAGCAGCACTCTCCCACAATGCACCTCTTCTGTGAGCAGTAAGCACAGAGCATTTACAACAGTGAATAATATGATTAAATCATAAGGGCATTTTGGAAAACTCTGTTATGGTGTGCCTATAGCCTTGACATTAGTTCAATATTTACCCCGAGGAATAAAAAAAAAGTTGGTTTTATGTGTAGAACAGTTGCAAAAGAAGATATTCTGTTTTACATCCAGCCTGCAGTGTTTATCAGTCAAAACAAAAGGGTATTCAGGTAAAAGTCACAACATAATAGGGCTTCACAAAGTCTCCATTCATTTTAGAAAAATAACTGTGTAATATTTTGTTTTTATTGTGTTGTGTTGACTTCACTTGAAATTCTTTAATCTTAGAGAAAACTGTGCGTTAAAATGAACTAGATTCTGCATCTGCCTGGAGGAACCCAGTTTTACAAACTAGAGAGGTGGAAGTTCAATCACAAAACTGGAAAACAACAATTATTTTCAATAGAAGTCTCTCCTTGCCAATAATTTGTGTATGTACGAAGGATTTAATACATACGTTTACACCATGGTGACTGGTAATAACATTTTGCTCTTAATTAACCAATGACCTTCTATTTTCCAAAGAAGGAACAAAATGAAAATAAGTTTACTTTTTGAGCAGTTTTATTGAAGGTGAGAGGGGGCACAGTCAAGTTGTGAAGAGCCATTTTGCATTGACTTTCTAAAGGAACTGAGCACCAAGAAAAATGTATGACTTTTTTAGGCTTATTGTAGACCCTATTTATTTACCAATTTAATTTTTGTTGTAGTAACCAATTTGTAACTTTCCCCCTTTACCTTTAACCCTAACCCTTTAGTGTTACTTTTGTACTTTCCTCTTATATTTCATGTTATTTTATTATTTTTAAGGTCCTTTAACACATCCCAATTCCCTTCAGAGGAAATGAGTTTGGCCACAGAAAACAGATGAGGTTGTACTTGTTGGACAAATGACTAGTTGCCACTCTATGACAGATTGCCTATTTTATAAGACAAACACGCTGCTATTCCACGATTCTTTTTTTTTTTTTTAAATCAGCTTTTGCAGGATTTTTAGTTTTCAGCCTAAGAAATGGTGCTGCGCATCAAGAAAACAGCTGGGGGTTTTCATACATTTCTGAAGCATCTGTCAGTTCATACCTATCCTCTGCTCAGTTTCAAACGCACACATTTTACACAGGAACAGCCAAAGGAAGCTGAACAGCAGCAGGGTTTTAAACTAAGGCAACCCTTTTATAGCTTAAAACTGACAGAAAATAATTGCACATCTCGAGACCTTTGTGCTTTTCAACATGCCTTTTGTGAGTCAGACTTTATTCACTCGACTGGTCTTACAATTTCAGCCTTTTCCTTTTGACATCACAAAAAATCAAAGTAGTTTTACTTAGCTTTGCAATCACCTACCTGAATTATACAATTTTGGCTGAAATGCATTGTTGGAACGCCACTAATACATGTATCTAGAATACATATTCAGGATACTAATTCTGGTATTGTTACTTTTTCATTTGGTGCTAGTTACATTCCTAAAATTAAAGGAATACATTGTGGTCCTTGATCACACAATTTGGGCTTCAAACTGCACAGTTTTTGCAAGAAAAAGGAGAACACCTCTTGTGTGGTGCATGCATGTGTGATTTTCCCTTCTTCAATTTGTGATAAATAAATGCATAAAAACATTTTACGTATTCAGAATACAACACTCTGACTGAACCATCTATGTTACAAAATACATTTTAATGTAGCTATTTAGTGTTCTGTAATTATTATGACATACATTGTCAGCATAGTCTTCCCAACGCTGCTGATATGTAGCTGTTTTAACACACTGTACAGACTACGTTTGCTGTGTAGATGCATTTAAAGTTGACATACTTTTCTCTCCTTCTGTCTGTCTTTAGGATTACCTCCTCAGTCATATGTACAGCAACGCAGCCCGGGACGACCTGTGGAACAAACTGTCCAAGGTAACACAGTATACCTCTCCTCATTACCTCTCAGTGAAAACACTACAGCTGTCCTTTATAGTGTATAGTAGTGACAGTGCCTTGCTCATTAGCGAGGACTCAAACCTGTGACCTGCCCACGCTCTGCCTTGACACAAAAACCTCAGATGCCCGCAGATGTTAATGACAATACAAGTGTTTCTAATGAGGGACACGTAATGAGTAGGAGATTAAAAAGACCCATGTTCCTGACTGACATGTTGAGATGAGAGTCGCGATGTTGTTTGTCACACATACAAAAGCACTCCACTAATTACAGTCATCTCTGTTGCCATGCCGATTACACAAGGGATGAACTTCTACCATAATGAGACCCACCTCGCTGATTATCTGACAGCCAATCACAGCTCTACTCACCTGCAGTCTGTCAACTCTTCTTCAGTTTGTCCCAGCTACCACACAAAAGGGTTAAACATGTCAGTCATTTAAATGAACTGTATGCCATGCTGTGTTTTGTAATCAGGCGATGAGATCCGAGGGGCGGGACATCGACATTGGAGAGATGATGGACAGGTGGACTCTACAAATGGGATATCCAGTCGTAACCATCAGCAAGAACCAATCAGAGCAGCTTCCGACGCATTACATCATAGTGAGCCAGGAGCACTTTCTGTATGGACAGGATCCCAAGACTAACAATAGGTTAGAGTCCCTAATTTTTCTTCGCACATTATATTGTCTTTGAATACACTGGTGATCATCTACATAAAGTTTAAGGGGATTAAGAAAAATTCACTTGAGCTACTTAATGAACTGTGCACAGAACCACTGTTTAGTCCTTCCATGTGCCAACAGAGGAGAACAGTGTGAGTATGATGGCAGTCTTTTACATGCTCATAGGGAGTTGAGAAAAGTGCAGCCTTGTTATCTATAAAGTGTTCTTTATGACTTTAAACTTTATGATACCTTGGAGGTGTCTAGAATGTTTGTAATGACTGACTCATTAGCTACCATCACATTTTTATCAACATTTTTCAGGAGATAAGATCTGTAAGATAAGATAGAAATTATTTGATCTCACAGTGAAATTTTTGATCCTAATGTTTAGGTTTTTTTTGTTGTTGTTTTTTTCACCTATTTTACTTTTACACACAGACTTCAGCCTTTATAAGAAGGCCATACGGACAAGAATAAGAATAATAATAATGCATCAGTTTTATATAGCGCTTTTTTGGACACTCAAAGACGCTTTACAGAGCATTATTCATTCACTCCATACCCGGTGATGGTAAGCTACTACTGTAGACACAGCTGCCCTGGGGCAGATTGACAGAAGCGAGGCTGCCAATCTGCGCCATCGGCCTCTCTGACCACCACCATCACTCACACACACACCACTTTCATACTAGGCAATGAGGGTGAAGTGCCTTGCCTAAGGACACAACAACAGCATGTATGTACATCAATTTGTTATTTTGCCAAAATGTACTACATGTAGACGATGTACAGACAGCATGAAGCATTTTCCTGTAGTGATGTGAAGGTGAGACTTTTATAGCAATCTTTACATCGTTCAACCGAAGGAGTGTTGGAACAAGAGACTTTCTGAACTGTTTTGAGGGCTATAAAAATAACAGTACAGCAAGTGGGAATTACTTTTATGGCACACAGTGATAAAACTAAGGGACCATAGTTTGGACCATAACTAGGGATGGAACAAGAGCTTGTGCCACAAGACCTCACAAGATAAAAATTACCTCAAGATTGTGCACACATGAGAAAAATAATCTTGTAAAATTTTATATTCTGAAGCCAACTTTTGTAACTAAATCACACGATTTACATATTAGAAATGATGATTACAAATGATAAAAAATTTGTCTCGTTCTCATGGGCTCAATCTTGTGTCTCGTCTTGTGTAAATTGTCTCTCATCCCACCCTTAACCATAAATACATAGATTCAGTGTTTCCTGTGGTTAAACTATGTGGCCAGCCCCAACCCTTGCATCTGTATTTTTTTACTCTATTCTCCACAGCTGCCCATGCCTCCTCCTGGTTTCACCCCTTTACACCTCACTAAGCACCGAGTTTGTTCTTACTGATCACGCTGCAGTCTCTTCTGAAAAAAAGACCTTTTCTGCACATTTCTTACCACCTTACATCATTTATATTTCATTTATATTTGATTCTGGAGATGTTTTATTCACATCTTTCACAACCTCTGGAGTTTATTCTCTTGCTGTTTCATCGACCCTCTCTTTTGGCATCAATAGTTCATTACATGCCTTCCTCTTTTTCAAATTATAATTTTTGTAATTGCTGAATTCTTGTTTATATTTTGTACAAACTCTTCCTCTCTATCTCTCTTTCTTGCCCCCTGAGTTCATGGTTACTTTTTTCCATTCTCATCTGAAGTATTTTCCCTTGCACTTCAGCTCCTGGTATTGGTGATCTGATGAACTGAACTTATTGTTATCACTGCGCTCTATTCTTTGTGTTGAATCTCTAGAGGAGGCACTCAGACACACACTCAGGGGTGCTCATAAAAACAAAATGTGCGACTGTGATTTTTAGCTCAACTTTCATCACTGCATTTGTGGTTGTAGTGAGTGAAATCTGAGGGGACTTGTGGACCCTGTAATGCTGTATTCAAGAGCACAGTATCCCTGCAGTGCTACATGCTGTTTACTAGATTTAGACTTTCTCTTATCTGCTGGACACATGTTGGGACTCTAGTCAGGCAATCAAGGTTCTGTGGATACTGGTGTTGGAAAAGAATAGCATTGACAGGTTGAACAAGGTGATATAGGCTCTATGTCAGATCAACCATCACTTAAGCTTAAAGGTCCCATGTTATGCAAAAATAAATTATTGTTAGAATGTTGTTACCTCCTTAATAACATGCTCGGATTTGGGTTTTGTTTCTTTCACACATGTTTGAGTAATCCTTTATCATCAATGCCACCTTGTGATTTTCTGTAGTGATAGTTTTCAAGTTAACAGCTACCTTTTAACTATTGTTCAGTAAAGATGAGCAGCTCTGAGGCTGAAATTATTCAGTTGATTCTAGTGAAGATGTATGGAGGTTAAAACACAGTGGAGTACTTCCTGCATCACCACATGACATCACAAGGTGGAAAAGGTGGAGTTTTTCTCTTCTGTTTGAGAGTAGAACACAAGATAAATAAGCAGGATTTGTGTGTTAAACATGCATAAATGAAACAAAACACAACTCCAGGTGTGTTTTGGGTGAGGAAACAATATTATAACATAAAAATATAGTGTAATCTGGGCCTTTAAGTTTTAGATCATCAAATGAGCCATTATATAATGTTAACAGATCAGCAGAGTGGTTACATTATTCGATTACACACTGACACTCATTGACATTCATTCATTGCCTCTTTCAGGAAAGTCAAGATCCTTAGGTGTAAGAGAAGCCTATAGACCTGGAGTGTTTTTCTTTTGTTGGTGGTAGCATTCTAAGCATTCATAGCTGATCACGCCAAATACAAGTACAGTTCTGGAGGTATTGGGTTTAAAGTGCATTGCTCAAAGGCACAATGGCAAATATGCTGCTAACATGCATAGAATCACTAATGTTCCAGCTAGTCAGGGTTGTGCAGTGCCACATCCTCTGTTTTGTAGATTATAGTATTGCCAACCTGTTGAGGTACTGTATGTTATGTCAATATGTTTTTCTAAGCTGTGTAATAATGTAGTTATTATTTTCTATAGTTTGGTCATTGGTTATTATTAACTACTGATAAGTAGACTAGAACATCTGTAACGTATCTGGTATAGTTTTCTTTTCTTTTCTTGTCTATAGAACTGCATAGGTGATATCTGAACTTACAGTTTAGGAAAAAGAAAAAAGAAATATTGCTCTTTGAGTGTTAAGGTGACATTACAGAGACCACTGTTTTTCTATTTTATTTCTTATCACGCTGCCTCTCCCCCCTCACCCCCCCTCCCATCAAACAGGCGTGACACTAAAGGAAATAAAAGCTCTTTAAAGAACTGAGCTGACAAGAACACAGACAAGGACAAACCCGAGGACGTCGAGGTCGGGGTAATGACACTGAGAAGAAATCAAACTGGATTTGTGTCACAGTCCGCTTCTGTGACTGAAGCTACAGCAGCAGATAAACACTGAGATATAACAAGCTTCTACTGAAGGAGACATTCATTATTATGAGTTCAGGAAAATAGTATTATTTATATCTTTAATTCTGAAGTAAAGTTAGTTAGTTAATGTCAAAGATAAATAATTAAAAAGCTGCATAAAATGAGCAGAAGCGTCTTTAAGCAAATGAGAGAGGAAGTGATGATTTATTAGTATGCCTTAATTAAAAGAAGGCTTTTTTTTCTGTAGGTGACGCAAGAAGGTTTAACTAAAAGATTTGTGTAACAGTGCAATGAACTAAGCAGGCAACAATACATTTTCAAAAAAGAATTGTTTTGGTAATAGACAACAACTGTAATGGTCAGAGACAGCTATTGTCCATCAGCCTGCCCTATGGCAGCCATGACTCAGGAACTAAAACACATCTGATCTTTGGGCGTCTAGAAATATGCTTTTAAATGTTTTTTTTTTTCTGCATTTTTTCACCAAATGTCTTCTCCATTTCAAACATTTCAATGATGATTGTGTTGACCTTTTCTGTCACTCACACATGAATATCAGAATAATTTCAGTTGCCAGGCAGCCCCATCGATCTCCCGTTGCCCCCAGTGACAGATAGCGGTGTTGAATTATTAAATGTTACTTTGTTTGGATGGTTGTATCACCTGACCCAAGCTTATTTTCCACTCATTCCCCAATTCACAAATGGATAAATTGATCACAGTCTTAAACACTTACTCCAAGTTTGTTATCTGTAATTAAAACCTCTTTTAATTAAAATACTAATGAGAAATAAAGCCAACATGGTGCTTTTAGAGGAAGCAATTATAGAATGTGTATTCCAATGACAATCTCCATCGTTCATGTTGGACTGTGTGTTACAGTTATTTCTTCCACTGCTTCATGCATTGTAGCAACTTTAAAAAATAGTGAAAGATATTAATTCCACTGTACACTAACTAATTACAGGCATCAATCTAATGGTAAGATTGAAACTGTTAAAGTTTTTTTTTTTTTTGTTTGTTTTAGGTCCAGGGTAAAATGAGAATGAGAAATACTTCATTGCTACTATGAAGTTACTTTGTAAACATAATTAGTTATTACAGTTTAAGCAAATAAACAATGTACTGTGTAGTAAAAGTGGGTCATGGGTCTCTGTGGCTCCAAACAATACACATCAAAGGGCTTTGTGTTAGAGTTAACTTTTTAAAGTAGTTTGTTACTTGTTCCAATGAAACATATTGTTCAAGTGAAGAAATAGATTTACCCTAAAATAGCCAAAAATAATCCTTAACTGTCAGAAAATGTGTAAACTCTGCAGTTCACCTTGAGACACAGAATACAAAATGGTGAGGATTAAAACTAAGCATAGAATCACTTTCAACCTTGCACAGGTTGGGTTCACTGGGGATGATCCTGAATATCAAGTCAATAAAATGTACTGTATTGTTTAAAACATCTCCCGAGGCTCAGATATAAATAGAAAAATACTGACAAAATAAAGGAATACTTTTTTTTTTTTTTTTTTTTTTTTTTTTTTTTTGTTAAACTAAACAATTTATGCTTTATGGGACTTGGAACTATTTAAAAAGCACCAGCAAAGCTTAACAAAAGTAGGCCTATTTTTGTAACTGTTATCTTGAAAAGTTACTATACCTACTACACAGAGCCATGGTTGTACTTCCATTTGGCCCCATCACTCTCTTTTTGTCTGTTCATACCAGAGCTCCCTGGTATGAACAGGAGATTAGAGATTAAACATCTCTGGAGATCATCTTTCTCTAGCGCTGATGTATTTGCTCTAAAAGTCTGTGCAGTTTTCCTGTCCATTTACAACATCCTTCTCTTTTGTCTAGTTTACAATGGCAAGTGCCGCTGACTGTCGCTGTGGGAAACACATCTATGATCAGTACAGAGAAGCTCATCTGGATCAATAACAAAACAGGTATGGCTCATATACAGCTCATCTACACAATTGTTTATTTTATATTCTTCAAGACTATAGAGATAAACACTCAGTAGTAAGAATCTGTGAGTAGTTCCCCAGTAAAAAAGCCCACATCCAGTGAACACAGTTTAATTCTAACAACAGGGAGAAAGTTTAGGAACTAGGTCAAAACTCAGGTCAACAGCTATTTTCCTTGTTTTTTTCTCTTGGCTGCTGCAGCTACCAACTGTACTCACTGCTCCACTAAAGCTCACAACCTCATTTTCTCAAGAGAAAGGCGCTTTTCTTTGCAGGAAAGTGATGTTAGACTAGTGAACAAAACACGGCAGGTGTTAAAGTAGAGTACATCACATATACTCATTTGCAGAAACTCCTCTCAGCTCCTTTCAGACTGTGTGATTGTGTTCAGTTGGCCTGAACAGGGTCTACTTTCACTTGTTCGATACACTCAGCTAATGTCTTCCATTATCTCTATTGGAGTGGCCTAAATTTACCTCTCGATACAGCTTTATGCTAAACCTCCAAAGAAAAACATGAAAGTTGTGATATTACCAAGTAAAGAACTTTGGTTTCGTTAGAATAAATAAACTTTTATTACAATGATATTGTCTGACCCTGCGGGCACACAGCGCAGCCAAGTCTGTGCCAAAGTGCTGTTTTCTTGGCTGGATAAGTAAGTAATTAAATAAACAAAAATGCCAAGCTAGCTACCTTATTCTTTGATTAAAATCCATTGTAGTAATTGTAATAAAATAAATAGAGGTTGTTTAGAGTAAAATGAGCAATGCCATTTGTCTGCTAAATGTTTGCAGAAATGCACAGAATAGGTGAGATACACGAGAACACATGGTTGCTCGGTAACATCAATCAGACGGGTTATTTCAGAGTGAACTATGACCTTCAGAACTGGAAACTCCTCATTCAGCAGCTACACTCCAACCCCCAGGTGAGCCACTGCTTCTGTCTGCATATGGTTTTATTAGCTGTAGCCGACTAAAGACATGTCCTGCCGATCGATTAGTTGACTAAAAACGGGACATAGCAAAAGCTCTGAAACTGCTCTAAATATCTGTATCAGACCCAAACTGCACTCACAAGGCTACAACTTCATGAGTGATCATGTAAAAACTATTTATGCACAGAGAAATACTAGAAAACAATGTAATTATGTAAAAACAGATTTAACTTGTAAATAATGAGTTTAATCTGCCTTTTTACATATAGACTAAAAGACTAAAGGCCTAGAGCCACAGTTTTTTAATGACTATATCCTGTGTATATTTACATGTCAAACTTACATCCACCTCCTGTCTCTCAGATCATCTCCATTGGAAACAGAGCAGGCCTGATCGATGATGCCTTCAATCTGGCCAGGTGAGTGCTAACATTGCACTAACATCTTCTTTAGTGTCTCATTTATTTGATGTTTATACAGGCGATCCCCTGTCAGCTCCTCTGTCTATACTTCAGCTTGTAAAACAGCCTGTTTACCCAGGCCAGCCCACTGTTTCTGTCTGCTCTCCTCACTTCATTATTGATTTCCAATAAGGTCTGTCTGTTTTTGAAGCCTGTCTCGTGTCATTTTTGTCAGTTCAGGGAAGGTTTGATCAACTACAAGAATAAGAAACTTTGCAATTAGATGCATTATACAGTGATATTTTGATAAGTAAGAAATGTGTGATCTGAATTGGGTTTTGAAGTGAACTTTTTTACTATTGGACCCTTCTGGATGACGGAGGGTTTTAACAGTAAAGTGCAATTGTGAGGCCAGCATTAAACAGTCAGAGATGTAAGCCAATGGCATTTTTGAAGCTATTACAACAGTCTCATTTGAACTTTGAGTTTGCCTATTCTCTATTTGACCCTGTTTATTTGAGTTGTGCTGTATCATCAGATTGCTTTCTGGTATGCTGCATCCATGGTTGATTACTAGACTAAATGGTATTTGCACTTTTCTGCCCTCAAATTAATTCGGAAATTACACTTAAATGAATAGCCCTTAATCTTGTGAGAGAATGAAAAAATGCCATGTTTTATTAGACTGTGAATTGAAAAGGGAGTCTTTGGAGATTTCAATTTAATGCTTGTTTTCTTTGTATTGTTTTTTTTTTTTTTTTTTTTACTTCTACCCTTGTAAATGCAACCAAGCAGGCTTTCATATCAGGTCTGTCACCTCTGGTTTCAGCTTACAGTCTCTCTCTCTCTCTGTCTCTCTCTCTCTAAATATGTGATCTTGAGTTTTGCATTCAATTGTTGTTCTGTATAGGTTATATCTTTAAATCCCACAAAATACCAAGAACTATTGTATCTGTCTTAAAGCTGGAAAACATGTTTTTTGATAAAGTCTCCCCATCTTTCCTTTCAGCATTCATGTCCCAAAATAGGAATTAAGATTTTAGACTTTAGCTGTTTAAAGTCTGTGGATTGGGTTTTTAATACTCACATCCCCATTGCTCCAGACTCTCTATGTGCGAACACAGGCTGATGAATGAGCTATAAGTGAGTGCTTTGCCGCAGAGAAAGCAAAGAGGTCCAGGCGCACCTCATTCCTCATATGTGATGTTTACTGCCCCAAGGTTTTTTCAGCGCTGTAACCAAAATCTACTGTGACATGGACTCGATAACTCAACCCAGAGAAGAGGCTTGTGCATCTCTTCTGCAGCCATCTGTCCTCCGTCATGTCGAATGAGACAAATGCGTTGTCAGTTGGTGTGTGTGTGCGTTTCAGTTAAAAGCTCAGCAGGAGACTTCCATTCAAACAACAAAGAAACGCAACTACGCATCCGTCATTATCAGTCGTGAGGGCAGATGTGCTCACTTTAGCCCTGCATCTGTCGCCATGGCAACTTGCAATAAACTTTTTGGGGTTTGTTTTGTTTGTTCATTCACGCAGGGGAGTAGATTTATTCTACTAATTAGAGCCAGGGCTAATGTGGATTAATGTGTGCCTGTTATGAGTTCATTCATCTATAAAGGTGCTAAATTTGAGCTAAAGCGGCAGGTGTTTCATTCTGTGATTCAATGATCCTGCTAGATTGTTAAATTAATACCACTGATGACATGAAGTGAAATCATTATGCACCATTAAAATAAAATGAGAGTTGTATAGCATCTACATACAGATATAGAACTTAAAGTTGCAGCGTGTGCTCAGTACTGATATGGAGTGAGCTGTTCTGTTGGTAACAACATGAGATGTGGAGTCTGACTAGCAAAGTGCTGCACTGTTTGGTTTACTTGTAACGCAGATCAACATAGCAAAAGCAGTTAACATTGTGACAGTTTGTAAACACACAATACAATATAGGCTTTATTAATACAGTACTGAAAAATTTGAATCTGGTTGCAGGTTCTGATAAACTCTTTATAAACACTTACTTTCATGTTCTTGTGTGTGGTAAATTAAAGGTGAGATGGAAAATGCTACATGTGCTGAGTTGCTTAGCAGTGGTGGGGAAACCGCTGTCTTTGCTTTTTTACTTTCCTGTAAATACAGTTAACCATTTGATTTCCCACCTACTCTACTTTCCTAATTCCTGTAATTAAATTGAAAACAATAGTAGTGATCTTTAATCTCAGCTAATCTCCTGGGCCCTTGTACTCGCAGAGTTCGATTCAGTTAAATGTGAGCAATCCTCTTTGCAGTAAATGCTGATTGGTGACAACACAGTCGTCTGTGTATGTGCCACAGTCCATGGCTAGTTTAGCGTAAATAAATGAGTGCGTCTGAGCGTATACACTGAAACAGTGATGGATGCAGCCTTTGTATGGCCTCTGCAGTCACTCATTAGCTCTCCAGTGAGCCCTGCTAATGGCTAATGGACAAACAATTAACAGAGCCTTAACAATATTAAAGAGTTAATGAGCTTGTTAAGGCGGCGGCTCAGGCAGGGACACAGAGACACTGCCACAGAGAGTGGGAGGAAATTAAATAATCTATAATCACCTTCATAGGGAACATGCTGAGTGTACACACACTTTGTCCAGTGACCTCTTGAGCCCGTCCTTCAAACAGAGTCACTATGACGCCTCTGTGAGGAAAACTGAAGCAAAACTGAAGCAGAGTTGTAGAAAGATTTGGACTGACAGCCTAAAGAGGTTTTTTTATTGTGACTGTGGGCTCCATGGCAAAGACTGACGTGAGAATAGTAATGTGACAGTCCACATCTGCAGGAGCAGACGCGGGATAGATGAGGAGTGGACAAGTGGAAAACAGAGATGGACACAAATGGATCAGGTTGCTACAGCAACACTGTCCCAGGATCACACAGTTTGGAGCTCAGTTCAGAGCGCTGTAAACAGGAAGTCTCTGCAGGCTGGATGGATTATGGTAATTTCTCATAGGCCAGGTGCATGATGGGAATAGAGATGAATATGTGGAGGTTGGTTGAGCTGTGCATGAGGCAGATTATGGAAATCCAGAGTTCCTCAGCCGCGAAAAGACTTATCTGAAACACAGTTTTCAGAAGTAGGCTTTAGCTTTGCTTTAGCTCTTTGGTCTGTGTAAATAAAATAACAAAATACTACCAATAATTAAGATCTCTTGCACCCCTTACTTGCTGATTTCAAAGTATGAGATAAGACAGTGTCTTCATGTCATGGAGCTCTAGAGTTTGATGGACAGCTGCTAAAGAGGTCACAGATGCGCTACTGTGGCATTGATAATGTCATATCACCTTTTCATCAGCCTCTGCACATAACTCTCATCTGCACCTATTCAATAATGATGGCCAGTAAAAACTGAGAATACTTTTGTGTAAGATGACAGTGCATCCTCAGCTGCCCACCACGTTAATATTCATGATTGATAGGAGGAGCTTAAGGTCATATGAGGAAGCAGCACAGTGCTCCACAAAACATCATGAATACCAACGAATGCACAAAGGAGAGGTTATTATTCATGAGCAGTTGGGTTTACCCTGAGCTGTGGGGGGCTGCGCTGCTGTTTAGAGGCCACTTTTCTGCAGGTTCATGCCCAGATTGACACTGTTAAACTGTCTAGACACGTAGAAAGAGTGGAGATTTTATATAGTGAATGTTGTTATTATATTTATGTAATTGGCATTTAAAATGTAAAAAGTCCCAGGTTGGCAGTTGTTCATTATTACCAGATGCTGCTGTTGAACAGGAAGTATTGTAAAGTATTAATTTCAGACTTTTATTTCAGTGACATTGTGGCGGTCCTTGTGTTTACTGATGGTGTCAATGTTGTTATTTTTGCAGTGCTTAAATGCATTCCCTAAAATAATTGAAAGGGACAATTCAAGATTTGGTATCCTACTTTTACCACTTGTAGTGCATATTCATGTATTTCTATTTTAGACTTCCAATGAATTTACTGTCTTGTGGGTCAATGGGTCTGCCCTGATCCCAGTTTTAATCTTTGTATTAAATATCTAACTCAAGAAGCATACTGTAATAATAATACGCACACTATAATAATGGCTAATGTTTTATATTGCTCTGACTTGCAGGGCAGGGTACCTCCCTCAGAACATTCCATTGCAGCTGATCAGCTACCTGCCGGAGGAGTCGTCCTTCCTGCCGTGGCATGCTGCCAGCCGAGTGCTGTACCAGCTGGACAAACTTCTGGACCGCACCGACGAGTACAGCTTGTTTAGTGTAAATGAGACCACACTCATTGTCATATACATGTTATCCTTTACATTCAGACTTTGTCCATGTTATTGTCTATGGGGGTATTCCATCAAAGTCGCTTAACAAGTTTAGGGTTATCCTGAAATCATCTCCCGTTAAAGTCTTAAGTCATTCTATGAAAGAAATCCATGAAAGAGTCTAACCAAAGCTAATTCAGACTCTGGTGAGGGAAGGCCAGATCAATGGAGCAATTACATCACTGAAAATGGGCTCAAAGAGTGATGTTTTTTATGATCTGACTAAACAAGAGGGAAGCCACAATGCACACAGACAGTAGTTTGATTTGGGACATGGAACATTTCTGTTCATTCTGATCTGAGGAGCAAGAGGAAAGATGCGACTCCCCCTTCCTCTCCTCTTTACTCACCGCTCCTCTTCCGGTGACTGAGAGAAGAGGCTGGCTGCATAGTGCATAGCCTGGTTAATAAGGGGATAAGTGGCCATAGGCTTTTTGATTTGTGCCTTTTTGATGAGTGCAGCATCCACACACGTGTCCAGTATAGGAGCAAAGGGCTCGTGGTCATTAAGTCACAGGTGATCATTTAAAAACGTATTGAGACAGTGACAAGTGGATAAAACACAGACGAGGGAGTACATGTGCTGAAAGCTCTAATTAAGCAGTTTCTTTTGATGTTCTTGGAGACCAACCTTAAATCATTTTGACAGTTAACCTGGTCACAACCAGGTTTGTGCCTGGGTACTTTACGGCAAAACTCAGGTTAGTCAGTTTGATGGAATAGAACAGAGGATTTGACAAGCATGAATTGCCCAAATAAGCCAGGCTTTTACTATAGCTTGCTTCATGGAAAACCCCCCTTGTTGAGTTTAGTCAGACTTTGTCCATGTTATTGTCAATGTAAAGTCATTACATTCAGAGTGTGTGATGGTGACTGTGTCTGCAGGACTATGTGCTGAAGCAGGTGGCATCCCGCTATCATCAGATGGGCTGGCCCAGTGCAGGACCTGGCAACGAGGGCAACATCCTGCAGGCATCATACCAGACTGAGTACGTATCGTCAGCATCACCAACTCAGAAAACAAATGCAATAGAGGAAAAAAATAATGCATTATTTTTATAACTGCTTGTGGAAAAACTGTACTTATTTTGAAGGTATACTTTATTCCCTAATATCATCATGTTTTGTGGTTTTATATGGCTCCTGATGCTCTAAAAACTATAATTATTTAATCCATTCATCTTTAAGCCTGTATAGTGTAGTGTGCAGTGTTTGTATTTATTAATGTAGCCGTGACGACCTTGCACAGACTTTGCTTTCACAGAATTCATTTTGCCACCTTATTTGACTTCACTCTATGGGCTTTATTGATTGCTGTTTAACTTGTTGCCCTTGAACACCTGCAGGGAGCTACAGCGAGAGCTCATCATGTTAGCGTGCAGCTTCGGGAACAAGCAGTGTCACCGCCAGGCCGTGGCTTACATCTCTGACTGGATTTCCAGCAACAAGAACAGGTGCCAAAATACACTAGCAATTATTATTATTAAGAAACACATCCAACTTCTTGTTATTAAACAGACCTAATAACATATTTGACTCCAGCAACTTTGGCAATTGTTTGGATATAGGGTCAATAATACATATGTCGCAGAAAATTCAATTTATCAAGTCGGTGCATTGTTTGATTTGTCTTTCCCTTTGTTGAGCAGAGGTCCTTTTATACACTACTGTGGGCTCATTCATTCATCCTCTCGAGGTCTTTTATGAGATCTGTTAAATTAGATTTCAAACAGCAATTTAAATAGAAGCAGATGCTGTATCGGGCAGTTGGAGAAGATAAAAAGACTAGCTCTAAAAATAAACACAAAAGATATTAATTGTGCAGTGATGACAGATGTAGGCCTGTCACTATTGTAGCTATTATAGAAATGCATGTTCATTATAGTAGCTCTATTAGTATGATCATGTTGTACAGCAAAAACTCTATGTAGTGAAGAGTTTTGTCAGTTTTTTACATTAAAGCCTCTCCATGTCTTGTGCATATGAGTTTGGGATTACAACAAGCCTATGGCTGCGTTCACAACCAGTTAGGTACCCATATTAAAATTTTGACTAAGTTTGAACTAAAGCTGTAACTAAACTTGACTAAATTAGGATTAAGTCAGTATTGGAACAGGACCAAACCAAATCTACATTATGTTTAAAAGGTGCTGTGCCTGATTTAGCCAGTTCATTTTAAACAGTTTGCAGCAGTCTAAAGTTATACCTCATTTTCCTTACACATTCCGAACATCTTAATGTCATCTCAATTAGTTTACCAGCACTTTTCACCTCTGAGATACCAGGGCAGAGTTTTTGCTGTGACTATAAAGCAACTAGCATCCTAATGTACAGTTCATAATTGTAAATGCAATAAAAGGCTCTATAATTAGTTAGTTAGTTAGTTAGTTTATTTTCTTCGGTCAATTAACATAATCATACATCATATTACAATGATTTAACACAAAAAAAAAATCACTAAGGTTATTCTGCAGACCGAAGGGGTTTAGGCTGAAGTTTAACACTTATTTTGCCTAAACTTATTAACATATAGAACATAATACGGCAGAACTATTTACAGCAAAACAACACAAAACTCATGTTTTGAGTGCAGGAAAGAAAATGTCCCTGAATCTTTTAGTATACACTTACACAATACTGAACACAATCCAATATACGTTGATGTGCATTCATACACACACAGACGCACGCATACACACACTGACCATGTACATGTTAATATTTATATCTATTGGTTTATAAATACACTTAAATATATAAATATAATTGAGGGTTACAGTTATTCTGTAAGTTCCATGGGCTAAAATATGATTTGTTGTATTTCTATATTGCTCTATAATTCTGGTCTTTTTTTTTTTTTTTAAATGTGTAAATTGTTTTAGAGCCTTTTAAATTTTCATCTAGACTATTCCACAGATTAACACCTCTGATGGAGACGCATCGACTTTTCAGGCTGGTCCTCACGAGCTTTCTGAAAGAGGCTTGATCCTCTCAGATTGTACTCTCTCTCTGGGTTTGAACATCTCTTGACTACACTGAGGGAGCATATTTTTATGTGCCTTAATCATGACGATTGCAGTATTTAGATCAACGAGATTATGTAATTTTAATGTATTTAATTTAATAAAGAGAGCATTTGTTGGGGCATAGTAATCAGCATTATTAACAATTCTAATAGCTCTCTTCTTTTGCATTAAGAAAATGGAATTGATGTTTGTTTTATAATTATTCCCCAATAATACTTTAACAATAGTTAAGGTATGGAAGGATGAGAGCGTTATACAACAGTTTGAGTGCATTATGATTTACAGAGTTTTTAATTTTACATAATATAGCAATAATTGTTTATATCTTTGTCTTCAGTATGTTTCTGTGCAGTTTCCAGTTTAATTTATCATCAATATTTATTCCTAAGAATTTTGTTGAGTGCACCCTCTCGACTTCTGTACTACCAATTTTTATGTGGCACTGTTTATTTTATTTTATTTTTTATTTCCAAAAATAATGTATTTGGTTTTATTCAAATTAATTCATAATTTATTCATGTCGAACCATTTCTTTAGAGTTGCCAATTCCGTTTGAACTTTGTTCAAGAGATGATCAAGATTTTGCTCAGAACAATACAAGCTATGCACATTTTTTAAGGCCTTACCAGTGTCATTCGTGTATATTAAAAATAATTTGGGTCCCAGTACAGATCCTTGGGGAACTCCATGTGATATATTCTTCTTACCTGAATTTACATTATTTATTTGTACATATTGATCTCTGCCATTTAAGTAGCTTTTTATCCAATCATGTGCAATGCCCCTAATCCCATACCTTTCCAGTTTGTTCAGAAATAATGTGTGGTCTATTGTGTCGAAAGCCTTACTTAAGTCTATAAAAACACCTCTTACTTACTCTTTCTTATCGGATGCAGTTGATATTTTCTCCACCAGTTCCATTCCTGCCATTGAAGTGGACCTATTTGATCTAAATCCATATTGCTGTTCACTTAGGAGATGGTACTTAGCCAGAAATCTATCCAGACTTTTCACAAATAATTTTTCAAGAATATTCGAAAATTGAGACAGTAATTAAATAATTTGTGAACTGATGTTTGTCACTTTTGTAGATTGGAATAACTTTTGCCGTTTTCATTTTACTGGGGAAAATACCCATTGAGAAATACTTGTTGCAGATGAATGTGAGTGGGGTGACTATACAGTCAATCATTTCTTTTACCAGTGAAGTATCAATATCAAAACAATCAGTGGACCTCTTATTTTTTAAAGTGCTTACAATTTAAATAATGTAGTCTTCATATACACATGTGTTAAAAAATGAATTTACATTTTTTGAGATGATTCTTTCATCTAATCCATCATTATTTACTGGCTGGACAATTTTATTGGCTAGTGTGGGCCCCACATTTACAAAAAAATATTAAATAAATTGAATATGTCCTCAGTTTTGTCTATGGTTTGTTGATTTTCTATAAAATAATTTGGGTAATCCTTCTTTTCCATTCCATTTCTGATTATACAGTTTAGCACATCCCAAGTTCCTTGGATATTGTTCTTGTTCTGTTCCAACAAGTTACAATAATATAGTTTTTTTGCTGTTTTTTATTATTTTTAATAGATTATTTTTGTATGTTTTGTATCTGTGTTCAGCTTCTCTAGTTCTAAGTTTCATGTATCTTCTATATAGGTGATTTTTCTTTTTGAAAGCTTTTGCTATACCATTTGTAATCCTTGTTTTTCTTGTTTGGATATGCATTTACTGTAGTGTTTCCTTATTGGGCAGTGATTGTCATATAATTTCAAAAAGTAGTTTAAGAAGACTTCAAAGGCCTCATCTGGGCCTGCAGAGGCATAGACTTCCTCCCAGGTCTGTGCATACAGGTCAGCTTTGAGAGCAGCCATAGCCTCAGGTGTACAATCTCTGATAAGTTTATATTGGGCTGTTTTTGATAGATCTTTCTTTAGTATGAAATGGTCAAAAATGCTAAAGACAGGTAAATGGTCAGTTACATCACTGAGGAGTAATCCTGCAGTAATTTGGTTATCCATTCGATTAGTAAAAATATTATCGATTAGTGTAGCTGTACTTGTTGTTATTCTTGTTGGTTTAGTGATGAAAGTGGGAAGCAATTATTGCTGTACATAACTGTCACAAAATCAGTTGTTTTACTGTTTCTCTGGGGGTTCAATAGATTGATGTTGAAGTCACCACACACAATATGGTGCTTGTTTGTGTTATTAAACAACCATTCTACTTTTTGGTAGAAAGTGTCCAGACACGAACCAGGAATTCTATACAAGCAACTAACATTTATATTAAATATTTTGTTACAATTTCAATCATTAAACATTCCAAAATTCCATCTGTGGTAGTTGATTTTGATTTCTCTTTTATTTGTCCTATTTGTTGTGTATAATTCATATCCTTCCAGTTGAATATCTGAGCACTTTTCTGCATCTAACCAGGTCTCAGACACTGCAATGACACAAAATGTATTAAACTGATTCAAATATTCTTTAATACTATTATAGTTCTTGTACAGACTTCTACTGTTGAAATGAATTATGGAAAAGGCTAAGTCCATATTTACACATTTAAATTCATCATCGGTGTAATATTCACACTTATTAATTATATTATTATAGAGGTTGAGATCAGGGTCTATGTCACTCCCAAACTCTACAGTTGTTATATTGTTATATGTTATATGTATATTGTCATGTACATTTAGTTGTATATGTTCAAATTGTTTGGTTAGTTCACTATTTATCTGATTGCATATTAATTCATTGTCATCAACATCTTTGAAGATGTCAATGAATTCATGTTCATTTGCCGTCATCAGTTTTGATCATTTTCTTGCTTAATCTCTCTCTCTCCTTCACACACGAGTAATTCACACACACCCACACATACACCACCTTGGACCAACAGAACAAGCACCCACAGACGGACGCACAAAAACACACACATGCGCATTCTCTGACTGTACTCAGTAAGTCCAGTAAGTCCCACGTCCAGAAAACCCCACGTCCCAGTTGTCCCATGCGCACTTTGGCACAAAGTCACTTATGTCCCAGATTGTCCCTATTGTCCCAAATCCACCTTGTCCCAAGTCCACAAAGTCCAACTATAAGTCTAGTCTCTTGTCCATCTCTTCTAGCTGTCCATAAATTCGTGCTTTTCGTCCTTGTAATCCATAGCAGAATTAACGTCCCTCCCACAGTATCTTTACGAAAAGTTCCCAGCATAGTTCTAACAAATATACAAAACAAGCAAGAAAGTGCAAGAGCGTGTATATAATCAAGCGAATATAATCACACTTCTTGCTGTCTCACTCTGGGCGTTCGTAAATAATCCAATTCGCGATTCAGTTTTGTTTTCCGAGAATCAAAGTCACTTTCCCCCATTTCTAAGTCACTAGGAGAAGTCATTGGCGAATAAA